TCCAGGAAAGCAGCCTCCCGCCCGGACCGCCAGTGAGTTATCTGCAGGAAACAAGAAAGAAAGAGAGAGAGAGAAAAAGAGAGAGGGAGGGAGGGAGAGAGAGAGAGGACTGAATCGAGAGCCGCGCTCCAGGACGCCGGTACAGATTTTCGAGGATACTGGCCAAGCCCAAAGAAGATCTCGCCAGTCCTGGACAGTGCAATTCCCCACGGGTCTGGCCCCAACCTGGGCAGGCACGGAAGGGTGGTTTTCGATGCTAATTTAACGTTTACGATGCTAACGTGGTCTTTCCGGGAGGGAGCCCCCTTGGGGCGGAGCTCACGCCCGGTCCCCTCCCGTACCAGCTTTGACCGACACGTGGATATGGTTGCGGGACTCGTAGTAGACCCAGTCGAAGCCGGCTTCCACTGCCAGGCGCGCCAGCAGCCCGTACTTATTGCGGTCGCGGTCAGACGTGGTGATGTCCAAGGCACGACCTTCGTAGTGCAGTGAGTCCTGAGCGTGGTGGCCGTCCTCATCCCAGCCTTCGGTCACCCGGAGGCGCACTCCGGGCCACATGTTCATCACTGCAATGGCCAGCGCGTTCACTCGCTCCTTACAACGCTGGCGAGGAATGAAAGAGTTGGTTTCTCCCTTATCACTGCCATCACCGTGGGGGTAAAAGGGGCCTCAGTCAGAGCCTCCATTCTTCCTTATTTTCCGGGTCCACCCACTACCCCCATCTTCTGCGTGTCCTGGGGGAAGTGAGACTCTGAAGAGGTGGAGCTGCCAATCTGCACCCCCTTTCCAGGGCATCGTTGCAATCTGCGGGGTCATTTCTAAGGTTAAGAGGGGATGCCCTACCTAGCTCTCTTCCCACTTTCGATGCCAGGTCCCTCACCGCTACTCCTAGGACCTCGGACCAACCTGAGGGAAGGCCAGAATTGGGAGGGCGGTTGGTAGTCTGGTTAGGGAGGGCCTGTCTCCCGAGAGGAGCCCCTGTTTGAGCCTGGCCCCCGCCCCAGGCCCTGGCTGCCCTCCCTCCGCCTCATTCATCTTTTGTTTCGTCGCCTTCCCTGGCACTGGGCATCGCTTCCTTCCTTCCTTCCTTCCTTCCTCCTCCTCCTTTCGGCCCCTAGCATTAACCCCTTTGTGGTCTGAGTGCCCCCCAGAGAGGTGCCTAAGGGAAGCCTTGCGGGATCGAGGCTGTTGGAAAAAGGGTTGGGTGGCGGGGGCCGCGCGAAGCACAATAGCCATTCTCCGGGATGACTTAACTGAGCGAGAATCCCGGGCTGAGGCCGGGAACACGCCGGCAGAAGCGGACTCAGCAGCTCCAGCCACAAAGGCGCTTTTCAGCCGCCCCGGCTCAGGGAGAGGAAAGGGCAGAAAGCCGCGCCCCTCATCCCTGCTCCGGCCCGCCAGGCCCCCTCCCCCAGCGCGGCCAGTCCATCTCTGTTCCAGAAGCAGCCCGAGACGTGGGAGTTACACCTGAGAACACGGGCGGGCGCTGCCCTGGCGCGGGTCTGGGGGGCCTACTGCAGGGTGGGGATGGAGAGGAGGAAAAGAAGCGGCGTCTGGAAGCCAGTAAGGGGGAGTGAGGCCAGTTATCTCTGCGGCCCCAGTCCGAGACTGGAGACCTTGGCGCGCAGCATAGCACGGACGCCGCGGGAGGAGCCGAGGACAGCTTCCTTTTCTTCTCCCTCCCACCTCTCACCTCCGACTTGATTTTCCCCTGACTGCCAGGGGGACATATTCTCCCCTGCCCTTCTCTGGTCTCCTCCACCTCTGCGGGGGTGGGGGGGAGCAGAAGTGGTAGCTCCTTCCAACTTCTTGTCGCCTTGTCCCCTCAGGAGGCCCTCATCTGCGGGGGCAGCAGCCCAGTGCAGAGCTGAGTCAATGGAGGCCTTTTGCAGCCAGGGTGTGGGAGATAAGCCCGACTGAGGGGGTTCCCAGGCCTGTCAGAGGCCCTCCCGACCCTTTCTCTTGTTCTGTCCCCTCTGCTGCAGGTGGCAACCTGAGGAAAGGGCCACAGTGTTCTATGACCAAGAAGGGGAAAAAAGAATGTCCCCCTTTCCATCACAGGGTAGGAGGAAGGTTTGAGTGCAGAAGCAAGAAGGAATTCTTTCTCTGGACAGGTTTTCCTAACAAAGTAACCCTGAAAACTGTGGCAATTAATCAGAGTATATCCGGCACCCCCCCGCCCTCCCTTCCCTCTCCATACACAATTAGGCAGTGTAATGGAAAGTGTATAGATTTAGGACCCGGAGTTCTGAATTCCAGTCTCTGAAATGCCACTAATTAGTTGTGAGACTTTGATTAAATTGCTTTTCCTCCTGGGGCCCAGCTCTCAGATGTGAAACGAAGGATGGGGTGGGGTGGAGGAATGTGGCTTCCAGGTTTCCTTTCAGTTCTGACACTCCAGGTCACTGGCCAGAGGTGCTGCTTCTCTTCCAATGCACAGGGCACCTCACCCTCGGTGGGTTTGGCTCGAATCTGCAGCAGATGCTAGTAATGGTTAGTTGAATTCAATTCTTTAATTCAAAGGAAAGCCCTTGAACTACACTGAGTGAGCCTGGAGGACCCTGTAGCCCTTTTGATCTTCAGGTGGGCTCATCTATTTCCACTGAGAATGGCCTTTTACTCCCCCCAATGTCATTACATCCTAGGATAGCCCTGTCCTCGTTCTAGGACACCTGTCACCTGCCCAAGGCAGTTACTGCTCAGCCCCCTCCTCATGTAGATGACTTGGTGACCTGGTCACTAGCCGCCCCTTTCCAAGTCCACTTCAGTCTCTTCACTTTGGCCCTTACAGCTTTCCCCCAATGGGATCAGGAGCCAGGCTAAGGGTAGAGCCTTTTGACTGCTGCCCAGCCAGCTCCTGGCCCCCAGCTCACCCCAGCCCTTCCTGCCTGGCTCGGTGGCTGACCCCCGGTCCACGCCTCAGCCATTTCCCGTCTCGCCTGCCGCCATCCTCCACCCTCCGTTCCCTGCCCTCACAGCCTCTCCCAGCTTCACTCTCACTAGTCGGTCCCTCCCCCATTCCCTACCTAGCTTCTCCCTCTGGGATGCCTCCTAAACCTCTGTCCAGCCAGCAGGTTCAGTTCTGGGGGTCAATGACAAAGGGGTCTTTAACACTACAGCCTTTGAAGATGAAGCCTGGCTCACCCTCCAGGCTGCCATAGGAAAAAGGGAGCTGGCAGCACCCTGGCACAGGTGGGAGGAGACCCTCCTTACCTCTGTCATTAGGCGGTCGGCACCACTGTTCTCCTCATCCTTGAAGATGATGTCAGGGTTGTAGTTGGGTACAAGGTCCCGGAAGCGCTCAGAGCCCCTTGCCACCCTCCCCTCTGCTGGCCCACTGGCTCCCAGGGTCCGCTCAGGCACGCTGGGCACAAATTGCTTGTAGAGCAGCGGCACAGGCTGCTTGCGCCCGTAGCGCCGCCGACCAACAGGTCCCCTGCCGGGTCCACAGCTCTGGGCAGGCAGTGTCAGAAGTGCCAAGCAGCACAGGGGCAATAGACTGGCCGGCAGCGCCATCGGTGCAGTCAGTGGGCTTGGGCTAAAAGGGAGCGAGGGAGCGTTCTTGTCCTCACTAGTTCTCCTGTCAGTTGGACATCTCCACGGTCGCCAGAGAGCAGCAGCAGGCAGAGCCGCCCCCGAGTGCCCTAGAGCTCCCCTGGCTCCATGCACCTGGCTGCCGCCAGCTCTGCCCACATGTCCCGGAGGGCCTGGAACCTGCTACTGATGGGCTACCATAGCAGCTAAGGGGGGTCGTGCCAGCCCAGACCGTCTCTGGTGCTGCCAGAATGCCCGAGACTCCGCCTTAAATGCCCCTGGCCACGCCCCCCGCCCTTTCCCAGGACCGTCCCTCCCACTCCCACCCGGGCGGGGGATCCAGCCGATCACCACTGTTCCATTTCTCCACTGAAGTGTGTTCTATCCTGGAAACCAGGCAAGCACCTGCCTAGGAAATCCTTGTAGCTTTACAGTCCTTGGCTGCCTGAATAAGCATCCTTGTACCTCCAAGCCTAAATTTGGAACCAAATCATCCTGCTCTGATACTTGAATTGGGTCTTTGCTCTTCCAAAGCCTATCCTGGCAGGCTATGCCCTCTGCTGTCATCCAGGAAGTATGGGTTCCAATTTCTGTCCAAGGCCAGACAAATCCTTTGGGTGTACGACCAGGGCTTCTTTTCTCTGTGACCCTCCCCAAATCTTAGTTGGCACTTAACAGTAACCAGGACTGGAAGGCATGGATCCCAGGAGACCATTTTCCCTTGTAACTTTAGTCCTACACTGGAAGCTTCCCCAGAACCAGGAACAGAACTTGGTAGTGAGTCTGGTTTACTATTCCCAACTTTTGAGCGCTCAATCCTTGCCAGACATCCAACCCCACCTCTCTCTGAATAAATAACCTGTCATCAGGAAGCTGCTAAGGGGCAATGGCCACTGAAAAGTCCTAGTTTGTAAGAGGCCAATGATTACTTCCCCTCACCTTCAATCTAGGCACCTCTCTGGCCTAGGAATGCTACTCACCTGCAGAGCAGTGGCACAAGTGGCTTCTCCAGCTGGCAGCACAAGCCAACCGAGCCCAGTGAGGCCTCCAGCTCAGGTTCACGGAAGTCCCTACTCAAAGGGATTCACCCAACAATTTCTATCATTTGTAAACTGCTTCCTCTTACGACTTCCCTGGTGTCTCAGCACTGCCCACTTGTGTTCCCTTGTGAAGCAGCAACTAACTGCATTTGGCACCCTTCTAGACAAAGCAGTTCTTACCACAGCTTGTTTATCACCCATCTCAAGGCTAAGGGCTCAGCCTACAGTATGGTGCTTAGCAAGTGTTTGTGGAATTTACACCCTCCCCTCACCCAGCTCCACAGGGACTCTGCGTACACTAGAAAAAAAGCAATCCTTTCTCAAGGTATTTGGCTTCCATTTACAAAAAATGGCCACAGGAACTGAGGATGTAACTCGGTGGTGAGCACCTGCCCAGCATGTGTGAGGCCCTGTGTTCAAGGCCCAGCTCCGAAGGAATAAGACTAGAAAATTATCATAGTAACTACACAAGTGGGTGTCCCAGAAACTAGGCAATGTAGTCTATGTAACTCTTGAATGGGGGGGGTCTTGCTATATAGCCCAGGCTGGCCTCGAATGCATGGCAAGCCTCCTGCCTTAGCCTCCCAAGAGCTGAAACTACAGGTGTGTACCATCATGCTTGGCTACATATATTTTTGTTTTTGAGGTAGCATCTTACTATGTAGCCCAGGCTGGCCTTGAACTTGCTGTGATCTTCCTGCCTCAGCCTCCTGAGTGCTGGCATTACAGGCATGCACCACCATACCTGGCTTGAATTTAGGCTCTTTTCTGAGTAAGGATTAACCCTTGCCAGGCAGCATTACCTACCCCCTTTAAAGTTTGCAGTAGGGAGATAACTCAGGGCATCTGCACTGAGCTACATCTCCAACCCTTTTATTTTGAGGCAGTCTTAACCCAGGCTGGACTTGAATTTGTGACAACGACAAGTTAAAGAAACAAAGCGAAACAAAACAAAGCAAACCCTGGGATCAACTTTATTGCTGATGGATAGACTCCTCCCTATGCTCTCAGTTTCTCCAATGGTCAGAAGCCCCTCCAGGATAGCACAGTGCTTAGGCTCTGCTGGGCAAAGCATGGGAGACAACCTGCCTCTCTTAAGCCTGCCCTGGCCCAGTCCCTCCCACCCTCACCCTACCCTATTGCACATCAAATCATGTAAACACGGCTTCGGGCAAGGCCCAGAACAGAGGTGAGGCAGATTGATGTGTAAATGGATTTGGAACCAAGAGCCAGACGCAGGTCACCCAGCCCTATCACATGCTGAGGCCATAGCTAGTCTGGAAAAGAAAGTCCTGGTCCCAAACTCTGGCTCAGATTATGCAACAGTGAAGATGGCTCAGTTCCCCTCTGCCACTCATCTTCTCAGATTCTAGGTCCTGAGGTCCAATTCCTCAGGATTCCCCTCCAGGCCTAGGCAGCAGATGGCAGCATCCAGTTTTTTCCTTTCGCCCCCAGATGGATGTCACTGGTGCCGAGTCTTCCTAGATGACCGAGGGAAACCAGCAACAGGCAGCGGCAGCCTGTCCAGCCCTGAAGAAGGACAGGATATGGGCAGTCAAAAGCGGGACACAGGTCCAGTTCCCCAGGGACAAGGCAGGCAGGGCACAGAACTGTGGTCCTCAGTGAAGTACGTTAAACACCAAGTAGGAAGCACACCTTCTTTCCTGGCAGGATGCCAGGTCCAAGTGCTATATTTGACACCACCCCACCACTTGGCACCTCCCATTCCTCACCAAAGGCCTGGATCAGCTCTGCCCGCACAGCTGCTGTGAAGGTCTTCACCAGACAGAGCGTGGTGAGGCCAGCAAAGGCTGCATTGTAGAGGAACACAATGTAGAAATTGCCCAGCCAGTTGAAGCGTCCAAAGTCACCCAGCAGGTCAAAGCGAGTGAGCCCTGAAGTACAACAACCAGGATAAGAAGGAGGCTCCCTAACCCTCTTCTTGTAGGAGCCTGACTTTCTGCTGCCTCCTCGTGGATACAACTCAGCACTGCAACTGGTAGACTTTCCCTGTGCATGCATTGCTACTACCTTCCAAATTCTATTCTTTTCTCCTTTCTTCATTTTTGAGATAGGGGTTCACTATATAGCTCATGGGGATCCTCCTGCTTCAGCCTCCAGAGTGCTGGGATTAATACAGAAAGTACCACACCCTGCTCCAAGCTCTATTCTAAGACCACTTTCCCAGCTACTGAACAAAACGTCAGCCTTATGCCAAATTGCCCTTCCAGTCTGGAGCCTTCTCCAATAGGATCCCTCCCTCAGGCTGCAAGTGGTGCTAGGAACTACCAAACCTGATACTTGTTCCTGGGCCAGGAATCTGCAAGCTGATCATCAAGTACTCTTTTTTTAAAAACATTTTTGTGGTACCAGGGATCGAACTTGGGCACTTGCACTTGCAAGGCAGGGTGCGGAACCACTGAGCCAAATCCCCAGCCCATCAAGTACTCTTTAAAACACAAAGTAGTACAGGGACTAAGAACTCAGACTATGATGGGACTGCTCTGGTTAATATCCTAACTCGACTTGACTAGCCACATGGTCTGGGGAGAATTCTTCATCTCTCTGTGGCTCCTCAACTCTAAAATAAAGAATGGAATTGCAAGAATTAAATAAGGCAACAGCCAGGCGTGGTAGTGCACACTAGTAATCCCAGCACTTGTGAGGCTGAGGCAGGAGGATCACAGCCTGGGCTATATAGCAAGTTCAAACTACATAGTGAGGACATGTTTCCAAAATAAACAAATTAAATAAGGCAACACATATAAAGCCCTACAGATGTAAGGCACTATTCTAATACTAAGTTCTTAAGAACAATAATATTATCAATCCAAGATCTGATCCCCCATCCAAACATAGCTACCTGTATCCAACCTAATAAAACTGATGGACCCACAAACTTACTTTCCCACTAAATTCCCAAAGCACAAATATAAGTGACACTGTGGTCACAGTGCAGGTTGAACATCCCTAATACTGACAGAGCTTTTTTCGGGGGCAGTACTAGGGACTGAGCATAAGTCCTTCACACTAAGCTGTCAACCCTTTGTTTATTTTGGTGGTGCTAGGGATTGAACTCCATTCTCAACCCTTTTTATTTTGAGATAAGATCTCACTAAATTGCTCAAGTTGGCCTCTAACTTGCAACCTTCCTGCCTCAGTCTCCCAGAGTGCTGGGCCAGGCTGAACATTTTTTGTTTTATTTTGATATGGGGTCTCCCTATGTTACCCAGCTGGGTTTTTCACATGAGCTCAAATGACCCTCCTAACCCAGCCTCCCCAAAAGCTGCAACAAAAGGCATATGCCACAACACCTGGCTTGGGGCATTCTCTAAAGCTGCTAATTTCTTTTTCTTTCTTTTTTTTTTTTTTGGTACCGGCAATCAAACTCAGGACCCTGTACTTGCAAGGCAGGCAGCAGAACCACTGAGCTAAATCCCTGGCCCCTGGGGCATTCTGGATTCAGATTTTTGGATTAGGAATGCTCAATCAGTAAAGTCAGTGCAATATCCACAACTCCAAATTATCCAGAAACACTTCTGGTCCCAAGCATTTCAAGAAAGGCATACTCAGCCTGTGTAAATTTAAAAACTAAACAGAGCTGACTGAAATATAAAATTATACTGCACAGAGGGTGATGTGCCATGTGGAGGATTGTTACCTCTGTGGCTCTCATACTAAGCTGGGCTGAACCAGTTATACTTTCTGGACTTGTGTCAAGTAATTCTAGACCAAAGCTCTCAAGGCAGCACGAAGACTAAGGGTACTTTTTTTTTTTTGACTGAACTGGAACTCACTATGTAGCCCAGGCTGGTCTCGAACTCACAGCAATCCTCCTGCCTCAGCCTCCCAAGTGCTGGGATTACAGGTGTGGACCACGACGCCCTGCTGAGGGTACTTACTACGTGCTGTTTCAGTGTATGGAGAAAGCACTGGCCCAGGGTTCAGGAAACAAGTGTTCTAGTCTGATGTGGCCTTGCCTCAATTAGTTGTATAATTCGGAGTCAGCTGGGCAGAGTGGTACACACCTGTAATCCCCTGCTCCCTGAGAAATTTAGTAAGACCCTGTCTCAAAAGAGAAATTAAAACATGGGCTGGGGATGTAGTTCAGTGTGAAGGCCAAGGGTTCGATCCCCAGTTCCATTCAACAAACAAATTCTGGGTCAATCTATCAGCTTTTCTGTTCCCTTATCTTTCACGTGAGATTTTTTTGGAGGGGCACTGGAAATTGAACCCCAAGGCTTCACACGTGCAAATCAGAGTGTTTATTAGATGATCCACCCAGAAGAAAGAACTGGGGGAGAGTCCAAGTGAGGTGGGCGGTGGGATGTGGCAAGTGTATGAACTTAGAAGCAACAGTACTGAAGTTTAGCACAGGTACTTCAGAGGGTTGGTTTCCCCATCTGTAAAGTAGGGTAGTATCACTTAAGTCTGCTGTGGGGATTAGAGAAAGTGTATACACACACACACACACACACACACACAACTCTCCAACCGTACCTGTTAAGCAGTAGTAGGTACTGAGAAAGAGTCAAATCCCTCACCTCCTTTTACTACTTACCTAGAGTTCGAGAGAAGACAGGAAGTGCTGAGCTCAGGACCAGGAGACAGACACAGTTCCCGATTATCTGGGTGGGCACAGGGAAAGGAGAGGACAGGGTAACAGAACGGCCCATACCCAGTACCCACCCATGCCTCCCGGGGCTCTCTCTTCTCCCTCCCAGCTACCTGAGTCATGGCTGTGTCATGCCATCTGGGCAGCAGGCGCTGGAAGAGTGGAGAGCTGTAGAAGCCCACGACCGAGGACACCATCAAGTAACTGAAACTAGGTTAGGGAAGAACTCGCCAGCTCCCAAGGATAAATGGATACCTCATCTCAGAATGAATGGACCTCTCTCCCAGTCCTCCTTCCAAAGGTTAGGGAAGACTTGCACTTTTCCCCATGGCTCTCCACAGATGCCAAAGAAAGAGCCCCAGAGGAGCCCTGTCCAGAGTCCCAGGAGACAGTTCTGGCAAGCAGAGGCAATGCTGAGTTTCCAGAAGGATACAAGATGAGTACAACCTGGATGACGGCCCCGAAGGAGCCCAGCTTGGAGAAGGAGACCTGGCCCAGGGAGGGATCCTGAAGGGAGAACAGCTCCGCTGAGGTGAGGCACACTCCTCACCATCAGCACCTCCCATCACCCAGCCTTCCTCGATCCTCACTTCTGCCCCTCTCCCTGGGCTTTCTTAGGTCCTCCCCAAAAGACCTAAGCAGGAGGGTGGCCCATACCTGCATGCCCCGTGGCATGGCAGCCTCATCGATGAGGAGCTCCAGGATGTGGATGGCAACAATGAGCACAGACAGGCCCTGTATGAGGCAAGGTCACAGATTCCCATCCTTGCCCCATCCTCATAGCTGTACCCAGGGTGCTGTGTGAAGAACACTCTGGTCCAGCATTTCCCATTTCCAAGCCTAGCTCAGCCTAGGTGTGAGGGACTGTCTCAAGACCGTTGCCAAAAGAGCACTTTTGAGGGTTTGTTATTGTTTTTCAGACAGAGAGATAGCATGGAGTGGGGGGGGGTGGTAAAAATAAAATGTATTACAAAATAATAAAAATTTTAAAAAGTAGATAGGGAGATCAACACTATATAGCCCAAGCTGGCCTCAAACTCAGGATCTCCTGCTGGATCACAGGCACTTACTAGCACACCTGGATACAAGGGTATTATGAGATGCAATGCTTTGTCTTTTTTTGTTGTTTGTTTGTTTTTTGGAGACAGGGTCTCACTATGTAGTTGAGACTGACCTGGAACTCACTGTGTAGCCCAGGCTGGTCTTGAACTCACAGAGATCCTCCTGCCTCACTCAGCCTTCCGAGTGCTGAGATTACAGGCGTGCGCCATCACACCCAGCGAGATGCAGTGCTTTGAAGGATTACAAAAAGGCTGCATAGATAAAGCTACCTATGGGGCCAGGGGTTTGGTTTTTAGCTCAGTGGTTCTGCCGCCTGCCTCACAAGCACAAGGTTTCAAGTTCGATCCCCGGTACCAAAAAAGAAAAAGCTACCTCTGGGACTGGGGATGTAGCTCAGTAGTAGAGCATTTTGCCTAGAATGCATGAGGCCAAAACACACAAAACACACACACACACACACACACACACACACACACACACACAGAGAGAGAGAGAGAGAGAGAGAGAGGGAAACTGTCTAGTAAAACAGGGAACTCTTCTGACTATAAGGCCTGTTCTTAAGTCTAGTATGTAGCAAATTGGGGGAGTACTGGGTTTCAAATCTTATCCTCATTTCGGGGAAAATATGCATAACCATTCAATGGCTCTGTGTGACTAATACAGGTTCATCCTGTGTCTTCATTCGCAGAATGGAGACTGATGTGCTTAGCACAGGACAGGACAGAAAGTAGGCACTCGGTGAGAAATTACTTGTATTACTGACAGCCAGCTCCCTGAATCTCTGTCCTTGCTCAGGAAGCCAAAGTACTCCCCACCCCCATGCCCATTCATGCACTCACAGTCAGCACCAGCAAGCACAGCATGGCCAGAGGGTAGCCCAGGTTCCGCTGCCAGGCTGAAGCCTTCTGCCGCTTCTCTGTGCAGAGATGGGAGGCTGTGAGCAAGAACCCGGGACAAGGGGTACTCTCCTCAGGCAAACCCAGGTATCCCAAACTCTACCAACCCACATACCCAGCAGGACCCTCTGTGTCTGCAGGGCCAGGACTTGTCTGTGCAGCAGCTCCATGTCCAAAGGCAGCCAGCAGGAGGTGGGATCTGAGCACAGAGAAGACAGTGCTATATCCTGGTCCTACAGCCACTGTCCAGGCCAACCCACTCCCCCAGCGGGAGAGAACTGCAACTCACTACAGATCCTCCGGGTCAGAGCAGCCTCCTCAAAGGCTGAGCAGTACAGCTGTTCTTCCAGGTCTTCTAGTAGCTGCGGGAGGGGGAAAGGAGGGGCTGTCAAAGGTTCCCTGATCCTAAGGGTCCCACAGAACCCTGTGCATCCAGGGTTTGCAGTCTCAGTCCTTCCTCCAACCCTCATTCCCCACCTGCCTGCGGCCAGTAGCTCTGTCCAACACCCCCCCTCCATTGTCTTGTGCGCTGTATGTGTATGTGCTGGTCAGCTCCAAATGACAGGGGTAAAGGATATGGAGCCCAACAAAGGCTGTGACCCTTTGTAAGGTGTGCAGCTCCAGCTTTGCAGAAAGCTTACCCTCCTCGATGAAAGGGCAAGGAGCACTACCTACCCGGGGCTTGACCAGCAGCTTCCCAGTGACCGAGAACATGCGGGCAAGGCCTAGTGGAGTGCACACTGTGGGAACAAGAGCCAGTTAGTTACCTGTCACCTGTTAGACCCTTCTCCCTACCCCTCCGCCACCCCTCCATCCCTGGCGCTCTGCCCCATTCCCTCCCACACCCTACACACTCACCCAGGAGCAGCAAGACGCCAAGGAAAGAGATGCAGGAGTAGAGATAGGGGAGGTAGTACTCCCACAAGTCTAAGGGGATAAAGGTAAAGCTTGTTAGTTCATCTCCATCTTCCTATTCACTGGGAGTCAACAGGTCAGAGTCTAGACAAGGACATGGCATGACAGGAGCTGTGCATGGTAGTGCACGCCTATAATCCCAGCACTTGGGAGGCTGAGGCAGGAGGATCAACTCGCAAGGCTAGCCTGGGCTACATAGTAAATTCAAGGACAGCCTGGACTATCTAGGAAGACCCTGTCAAAAAAAAAAAAAGGCAGGGCTGGGGATTTAGCTTAGAGGCACCTCACCTGCCTGGCAAGGGCAAGGTCCTGAGTTCAATTCCTGGTACCAGGGGGCGGAAAAAGCAGTGGGGACTATAATGAACAGAAGATCCACACCCTATCTAATAGGTATAAGTGGTATTTGGCCCCAGCCACAAGGACTAGTATAGTCAGATCCTCTGTCTTGTTAAAGAATGAGGTGTTTTTTTTTTTGGTGGTTCCAGAGAGCAAACCCAGCAGTACTACATGTACCACTCAGGTATCGCCGAGCTGTATCTCTAGTGCCCTCCCAAACATACTTTTTTGTGGCAGTACTGGGGATTAAACCCAGGGCTGGCTTTTGCACAAGCTACATCCCTAGCCTCGGCCTCTTGCCTCAGCTTCCCAGGGTACTGGGATTACAGGCATGTGCCACCATGCCCAGCTCCCAACCCCCACTTTCTTTTTGAGACAGTGTTTCATTAAATTGCCCAGGTTGGCCTCAAACTTGTGACTCTCCTGCCTCAACCTCCCAAGCAGCTGGGATTATGGGACTGTGCCACTGTGCCTAGCTTCAGTGAAGTATTTCCACAGGATGGATGAGGCCTGAAGCCCAACAGTTTGAAAGTTCAATTTTAGGAAGGGGAGCCACTCTTTCCTACTTTTTTTTAATGTACTTTTTTTTGAGACAGGATCTTGCTAATGTAGTCCAGGCTGGCCTTGAACTTGCAGCGATCTTCCTGCCTCAGCCTTGTGAGTGCTGGGATTACAGGCCTGTGCCACCCTGCCTGGTGACTCTTCTCTACTTTTTCTTTTTTTTTTACATTTATTAGTACATTTTAGATTTTTTCTTTTTTTGTACCAGGGATCAAACTCAGGTCCTTGCACTTGGCAAGGCAGGTGGCAGAACCACTGAGTTTTTAAACCCCCAGCCCAACCAGTACACTTTAGATACACATAATGATAACTCTTCTCCACTTTAAAGGGACACAGTTGTTCCCCAAGAAATGGGGACATTGGCCAAGTGAAGACCCACTCAGCTTGGAGAGAAGAAGGAAGCTAGGCCTCTCACCATATAGCGACTCCCTGCTGGCCTTGTTGTCCACAATGGCAGATGCCACCCACACCATTCCCAGCACCAGCAGTGTGAGAAGCATCAACATCACCACGGTCTCATAGACCCGGCCCAGGACACCCTAGAATAGGGGAGATGGAGCAGGGGGTCAACATCAGGGCAGTGTGGGGAAGAGGGAGACATCTGGAGAGAGCAGCTGGGCTGCAGAAGGGACAGATCTGGATTAGACAGAAGTGGATACCTCCTTCGTATTCTGCCCAATGTTTCTGTTTGCCCACTCCTCAATACAAGGTCACCCCATATCGTGGGTTTTCTTTATTGGTGTGACCCCTCTCCAGATCCATTCTTGTTTTTATTTTTCCAGTACCAGGGATTGAACTCAGGACCTTGTGCTTGCAAGGCAAGCACGATGCCTCTGAGCTAAATCCCTGGCCTCAGATCCATTCTTTATCTCTGTCTGTACATACGACACAAGCTCTCTGTCTTCTGTTTTTTGGTTCAATTTGCCCAATGGAAGAAATAGCAGCAGGGGTTAGAAAAAAAAGATCAGGGGTTTTTCCAAGACTTTCTTCCACCTTTGGCCCCACGGTTTTGGCAGGAACTGTAACACTAAGACAAAAGTGGCCTCACAGTCCCAGCTTCAGCTATCAGTGAGCTCCTGAAACTATTTCCTCCCTTTGCCCCAAAAGACCCGAGTAATGACTTCCTACCGTCACTACAGCTTCAGGCTCTTTGCCTTTCAAATCACTTCTTCATTGAAATCAGATCTTCTGTTGATCCAGTTGAGTGGAGTTCTACTTCCTGCCTGGATGGACTGCTACATTCCCAACTCACCTTTCTGGTTGTTTCTTTGTTTTGGTACCAGGGATCAAACTTGGGACCTTGCGCTTGCAAGGCAGGCAGCAGAACCACTGAGCTAAATCCCTGGCCCAAAGAATGATGCTCAACTCACCTTTCTGGAGCCAGCAAAGCCCTCAGACTCAGTGAAGAAGTATGCAAAGGGCATGAGGAAGATGAGGGACAGGTTGGAGAAGAGAAAAACGAGGTTCCAGAGGCCTAGAGGTAAAGGGGCGGGGGAGAAAAGAAAACAGAAGGAAAAACAGAGGTCAGTAAAGGGCTAGTGACCACAGGGACCAACCACATGCAGGGTGTGTGTGTGTGTGTGACCCACTAGCCCAAAGCTGCCTGTACCTGCTCCCTCCCTACCCCATGCTGTAGCTGGAGCCACCACGTACCATGGATGAGAGAGCCATTGAGCCACTGGATGTAGTAGTTTCGTGGCAGTGAGAACAGCACCTCATTGCTGATGAGGGAGAAGGGCAGGAGCAGGACAGCACCCAAGGCAACCGCCAGGGTGAAGGTGCACAGCTCAAGCCTGGGCAGAGAAGGGGACAGCTCAGCACTCACCACCCTGAGCCCAGGAAATCCCATTTGTCCCCCAAGGCACCTGTGGCTTCTAGAATCAACTGTAGCAGTTGATAGACCTAGAGGAGGAACTGTGTAGCGGGGGCTGTACCCACTGCCCCCCTACCTTAGCCCTTTACCTCTAAGGGAGCCCGACATGGGAAGGGCACATCCTCAGGCACTCATGGGTACCTAGTGACCAGCTGTGCCACTTGCCCAGGCTATCCTCAGGAATGTGGCCCTCCCACACATGCCAACAGGGTGGGCCAGGCACGACGGCAAAGCCAAAGTATGTGGCATCTCTTCTCTCTTAGGGGTATAGATTGCTGAGCTTCCCTTTGCAGCCTGGATAATAGCAGGGTCACCCCATATGGTTATACTTCAAGAAGGCACTAGTGCAAAGGAGAACACAGGGAAGCTGAGGCCCACATCCTAGTCAGGTCCTGTGCCTGGGGCTGAATTAGCTGCACCACTTTCATCTATTTGGTCCACAGGAGATGGGGATGTGCAGGGAAGGAGCCAAGGAGGGAATCTCTGTATATACCAGTGAATACAAACAGTAGGGAAGGGGCCGGGGATTTAGCTCAGTGGTTCTACCACCTGCCTCACAAGCACAAGGACCCAAGTTCGATCCCCAGTACCAAAAAAAAAAAAAAAAAAAAAAAA